CTCTGAGATCTGCTGGTCCACTCTGTGGAGGAACCAGGAACAATTAGGAAGTCAGGAAATATTCATCCAGCAGTTTTCACAGAGGAAATCACCAAGAGTTTCACAGTAAAAATACTTGAAGGAGAAAAACAAAACATCACAATACACACTTACAGCAGGTAGAAACATCTCACCTCTCTAATGGTGGAGATTCAGGAGATTTAAAGTAAAGAGGAGGATCCTTTGACCTGTCACTCTTAAAGGACACACAGCTGGGTTCTGGTTCTGGTTCTGGTTTGAGTCTCTGATGGATCCTGACAGAAACATGATGATTAAAACTTAATCAGCAAAGAGGAGCAGCAGCAGCTTCATCACCACGTCTGTTCTGGCCTGATATAGTGAACGCTGTGTGAAAAGGGCTGTGGACAGTTAGAGATGGTGACCTCACCTCTGACCTTTGCTCTGGCTCTCATCTTCCCCACACAGAGTGGTTTAGAGGGAGGGACTCCCTCCTCTCTGTCCTCACACTGATCCATGCTGCTGAATCCACATCAGCTCACACACACTTTCTAGCTTCACCTGCAGAGGAAACACACATCATTCATCTGCACATCAACTCTGATCATCCTTTACATCATTAGTGCTGGAAAAAGATCAGCTGCTCCTCCTCTGATTGGCTCTTCTTCTCTGCTTCATATCAGTGTCAGGTGAATGCAGTCAGACAGCAGAGAGGCAGAGGAAGCTGCCATCAGCTGCTGCACTTCTACTATCAGTCCACTAGATGGAGACATGGAGCAACATTTACATTCACTGATTCAACATGAACAACAGGAAGTATTTTAATTAGTTAATGATTAAACTCTACAAGTGGATTATCAGCTGCATTAAATGTTAACTATTTAATAATTTGACTGAATCAATAATAATATTTTAATAATATTTTATTTGAAAGGAAGCAAAAGGAAACTGTTGCTGACATTAATGGTGGAGACTAGAGTTCAGTACCAGGAAATAAAAACATGAATTAGTTTGGAGAAGAAAACAGTGAAACATCAGCTGTTCATCATGTTGATTGATTCCAGATCATCAATAATCTAATAATCCTGTAGATTAGCCTTCAAGCGGCAGATATTAAAGTTTCAGCTGAAATCAATGTAAGGAAATGTTTCCTTTCCTTACAACACCAGCACAACCTATTGCACACCAAAAGTGAAACTTTTCTCCAAACATCAGAGATTAGAAACAATCAAGAAAAAGTTAAACTGATAAAAAAAAAAAATTCAATAAATAAACAAATTAAACTTACAGTTTGTTCAAAATATCCAAAGAGTTAAAGAAGAAAATTTAAACAACAGACTGAAACCCACAAACGGACTGGAGCCACACCTGAACAGGTAAATCCAAACTGAAAGTAAATGTGAAGGATGTTGCATAACTGATGACGTCACAGCTCACCTGACTTGTAGTTTTTTCCTCCAGAGCAACAGAAAGGAAGTAGAAGCTCTGAGGTGAAATCAGAGGCAGATTGATAAAATCTTCATGAGGAAGAAGAGAAATTATGATAAAATGAAGGTGTACTTACTTTTGATCATTACTGTAGTGATGATTGATAGAAACAGAAAATACTAACAGTATTTAGTTTATTCATCACGTCATAAAGAAAAAGTTGGGAAAATGCATTTTTCAAACAAATATTTTCATCATGTCATCCAAACGTTCATTATAAACTAAATATTTAATTCACAATCTAAATATTTACTTGGATTGTAAACAAAATTTTGGGAAATAAAACTTTAGTTAAATATTTGGGTTCAAATAAATATTTATTTTACAAACTAAACATTTAATTTCAAATTCAATATTTATTTTCCAAACTACATATTTAATTGTCTTTTTCATGTCTAGTTGTTCAGTCAGACGCTCCATCATGTTGTCATGTTTCAGTTTGTCCTACATTCAGCAACAGTTGGTGAACTGGGTTTAATCCAGTTTAGTCTAATTGTCTTTCTTGCTACCAGCAGCAGAAGGTGCAACAATATGTAACATTGATGTTTAGTGAGTAAATCCTTGGTGTTTATGTCCAGCAGAAACAGAAGAGGCTCCATGGGGAGATCTGTCCTCAGAATGTCCTCAGTCTCCTGTTTCATTTCCTCCCAGAAAGTCTTTATTTGTGGTCAGAACCAGAAGACGTGTGTGATGACCGACCATTCAACACATTCCTCCAACATCCATCTGTGGTTGGAATCCTGGAAATGAACGTTTGAAAGGAGTAACACTTTATTTGACACAGTGTGTTCTATTAAATCTGGTTTTTACTTTCCAGTCAAACTCTTTGCACATTTGATTTCCAATTCTTTTATGGCACAAAAATGCAAATTAGAAAACTCCACTCCTTGTTTTATCAAGCTCCAGTTCAATTCAGTAAATTTATGTTCTCAATTTGACAAACAATCCACAAATGGAGACCCCAAACTGGACCATATTTATGGTTTTGACCTCATTCCTCTTCAGAGATACCACTGCAAACTCGTATCAATGGCTCCTCAGAATGACCAGTGGGACGCTCTGCTGGAGACTGAACTACAACACTAAAAAGAAGTTTTAAACTCACTTTTCAGTTTGCTAATTGGACAATTTTATTCTGTAAGATAATAAATTGCATGGTTACACAAAACCAATAAAAAAGTTAACTATTGCCACATTATGGAGTAATCAATCATGGTGAATATCTGCCACAAAAATTCATTCTTGAACAAGATGGCTTTTTCCAGAAGACAGTATTACATTTTAATAAAAAGTGGGGTGGAAAGAAAAACTGGTGAAAAAAAAGATGCACATATGAAATTCACCATTTCTGGAACAATGATTGATATTCTAACGTATGTGAAGTAGATTTGCTTTAAAGAAAATGTTTTATTTGCATCATACAGTCTTCTTTTATGTATCACATAAATGTAATTGTATCATAGTCAAGATGTTTTTCGGTGCAGCTGCAGAGGGTGTACAAACTAACTGAACAAGATGCGTCTGCTGAAGTTTCCCAGGCGGGTCGTCTGGGAACTTAATCTTCTCCTCTGTTAGCTGAGAGGTGAATAAAGCAACTATGTAACTCTGAGTTCGTTAGAGCAGATTTAGATTTTCGCCTAATGCAGAGTATATTTTTCCCTCTGTCTGCAGATGTATTAAAGGTTGTTTTTGCTCCCTGAACTTGGACTAGAATTGTGCACTTCACACATATTCAGATGAACTTTTATGGTTAGTTCACAATGGAAAAATCTGAGTTGATTTCATCTGAACATTAATTCAATCTGGAGAGACTTAGACGGAGAAAATGGAAACCATTAGAAGAGTTTATTGACATACAAAATTTAAGTCTTTGGCGCTTGGGCCCCGGCTGAGGACATCGATCATCACAATCTTTGCGATGAGCTTGGATGAGCATTCCATATGCTGAAAGGAACGTCATCCCCCGAGACCAGACATTGGTGATGGAGGTGAAGAAAGGATGTAGCCGGAGAGCCGAGCGAGTGGAGGTGAAGGGGTGGAGGAGGGTTGAGCTCTGCTGGAAAGCAGAAGACGCCATGGACGGTGCTATTTATCAGCTGGGACTTGGACAGTGATTGGACGTGACGCGTCTTGGACCAGCGTTGATTAATCAATGGTGATGAACAGGAAGCAACGGTTGGATGATGCAGGTGGGGTTAGAAGAGTCTTCCAGTTGAATTTGTGCCTTTTTCCTCACAAAGTGAAATAAGATCTATTATAAATTTGCCCAGTATAAATACACTGATTTCACTATGAAAATTACGTTTTTAGTCAGTAGTGTAAGAAATAAAAACATTTCCATACAAGTCTTAAATACTTTATACAAAATATTGAGTGGAAATCATACACAGTGAGACAGGTTTAAAGAGACGTGACAGTCCAATGAAAACTCCAGATAAATGCAGTGATTTTATGGTCAAAAGTTACAAAATGTGCAATAATTAAAAAAACCTAAAGTGAAATCTTAACTTGGCACAAGGAAATATTTGCTCCCATCAACAGAAACATTGAATTACTGAGGGAAGGGAAGAGGCTGGATCTGTAGTTTAATTTCATCCATTAAAAAGCTGCCGAAACAAAAAGAGTTCAAAATAAATCGCTGTCTACAGAAATACAAAGAAATGGTAAATAAAAAACATGGGATTGATACTCAGCATGACAGATTACAGTTTACATAAAATTACTAAAATGAAAAATACAAAATGTTAAGGACATCAGTCTGGAGAACACGATGCAAATTATAACGATTACAAGGTAAAGAGATTAAAAATAAACAAAAAAATACATCATTTTTATAATTAAGGCCACTCGTATGAAGAGCAGAATAAAAAACAAAAAAGGAGAGAAATGTAAAATTGTAATTATTCCAACTCAAGTCCTGCTGTGCAACTCAGTTTGTAACAAAACCCCAAAAAACTCAAAAATGTCAAAAAATGGAGCAGAAATCAGATCAAATCTTTAAAAGGGAAATAAATATACAAAAAATAAATAAAATGGCCATGACATGCAGAAAACAGAGAAATAAAAATTACCACCAATAGAGGATGAAATGAAGCGATGAGTTAAATTCAAACATTTTTCATGTGAAAACGAGGATTAGCATCGTTTCTGCATGACAAGGCATTTTCCTGCTCAAACTGTTAGAAAACAAATTGTGATTTGTAGTTTTTCTTTGCTAAGTGAAGTGAAATATTTGACTTGTGTTCATTAAAAACAGGGATTTCTTTCCTTTTACATGAACACACATTCACAGCTTGCAGAGTGTAAGGCTTGAACCACTTGGCCACACTTTGGGAGGGGTGGGTTGGATTTATTGCACAAGAACACTCGGGGCGGGTGGGTTCTTATTCGGCCCTTTGACAGGTTCTGGATGGGTTCTGTCTCCTCAGTAGAGGCGGACGAGACTTAAAAAATGTGAAGTTGAAGAACACTGGAAGCTGGTGAGGTTTTACACAGCAGCCAAGACAGGTCAGAGGTCAAAGCAGTGCCACTGCATCAAGCAGAGCCTCATCTTCCTCCTCTGCTGATCGGGTCTCGGACTTGAGCCGGACGAACTCCTTGGCGACGTCGTCGTTGGAGCGCTGGGAGAGGATCCGCATGGCGGTCAGGCCCGTGTCGTCCATGGAGATGCGCTGCCCCAGGGGGCACCAGCAGGCGCAGTTGCCCCTCTCCATGATGTCCCTCAGCTGCACCACGGCCAGGCCCACCACCCGGTCGGCGCGGCCGAAGCAGTAGTCCTTGACGCAGGCTTGAACCTCGTAGCACTCGAACCCGTCCTGAACACCCAGAACGCTGCAGAGCGAGAGCAGAACACAGGAGTGGGAGCACATGGGCTAGGGCGCTAATTGCAGAGCTAATTCCTGATTTTGTGCTTTTTCTGAAACTTTAAAAACATTCGTACACCTAGCTTTCGCTGATCTAATTTTCCATTTTAAATCAAACATTTTACTTTGATTTGAGGTCCACATCTGCAGTGGTAGACTAAACTATTGCTAATCTGCTAATGTGCTAATAGCAGAACAAATTTGTTGTGCAACACATTTTGATTCCCCTAAATCAGTTTTCAAGTTAAATTCTAAAGCACTAATGTACTTTTGTTGTTTTCCAGACTTTCAGTTGAATAAAGTTTGACATCTGCAGTAGAAGGGACACTTCCATTAAGCTGCTAATGTCAGGGTTTCTGTGTGAGTGCATGTGTGTGAGTGCGAGTGTCACATCTCGTCCAGAGAGGATCTTGGTGAGGAGCCGGAGGAGTCTGCACAGGTGGAAGTCATCTGCCTCATCAGAGCGCGCGGGGGATTTAGGAGCGGCAGATCCTTTCAGTGCTAGATGATTACGTTCATCGGTAGTCACTCTGGTCGTCTCCTGTTGTTGCATGTTGCTTAAAGATAGTGTTTGAGCTTACCAGAAGTTACCTGACCTTTGTATTTTTGCCGCTTCCAGGGTTTTTGTCTCTCCGCTCGTGAGTTCTCCTGCGAGCACCAGCCTGCCTGCTCCGTTGCTCTCCCCGCCGCAGCTTCACTCCTGCAAGCCTCCGGTTCTCCGAACACCCCCTCCTCGCACTCACCTTCGGACCGCCGAACTACCCTCCACTCAGAATCCTGGCACCTCCCCCATGCTACAGCAAACCACCGTGAAGTAAGCCCGTTCCACTTCCCTCTCATATCTATCCGTTCACTCCCAGCCATCTAAACCGCTTCTCATTTCAGGCCCACCTGGTCGAGTCATTCACCCCCCCACTGAAGTCCTGCGGATTGATATATTGTGTGTCCTGTTGAAAAATAAATACTCACTATTTTCTAAGAGACGTGTGGTTTCTGCATGTGGGTCAGAAAGCTAACACCCAATATGTCAGCTAATGTGCTAAAATGTATATCAAACTGGGCACAGAATATCAAAAACTTTTTATTCAGCTATTGAATCTCATCAACTCCCCACATCAATGAAGGAATTGTTAATTACTTCATTCTGAGAAAAGGGAAAGAGCCTTTTGAATGCTCAACGTACAGGCAGTAAGCTTATTGAGCTCCGATGCAACATTATTCACAAAATATTATACAAAGCAGACCAAGCAGGCTTCATCAATGGCGGAATTTGCTCTGATAGTGTAAGACAGCTATTACATCTGATCTGGAAAGCCCAGCATTCAATTTGTCCTGTAGCAGCCCTGTCATTGAATGAGAACACCGGCTATCAACAACACCTATCGACACCACCAGCTATCGACACCAGTCCTACCTGACCGTACCCAACCCTAGTCTACAAAGCACCCTGTCGTACATGTTTTAGAGCAGGGGTCACCAACCTTTTTAGACTGGGAGCTACTTCACAGGTACAGAGCAACAGGAAGGGCTACTTGTTTAATACAGTCTTTATATATATATATATATGATAATACTGCCTGATCATATTAATGTCAGGACCACTCACAATAGTTATCAGTAATAATTTACTATGTGGTTAATTGCTATTATGTGATTAGAAGTTTTTAGCTCACAGAGTTTTAAGTTTAATTCCTTTTTGGAGTTTTTCTCTGTGATTCTAAACTGGAAACAAGTGACTGAAATAAACCAAAGCAAACTGATGGATTGTTGCAGTAACACCTGCAGCTGTACAGCACTGAGTACCTTGAAATTTTCCTTTAAATAAAAAGAAAAGAGTTATTGTTTTATTATCTAACCATCTGATCTATTAGCAAAATTGTGGAAAATAAAATATCTTTTGTGTCAAAACATATTATAACACACGGTCTGATGCGTGAGGTGGGAACCCAAAGCCTCAGTCTTATTGGTCAGTTTGCTTTTATTAATTTAACGGCTTTGTGTTTTTCTGTAAGCTAAAAATGAACCAGTTGGGTTTGAACCTCCAGCTGTTCTAAGATCAGCCTGAGCTTTGACAGTCTGTGCGGTTCTGGCGGGTCGCCGGTTTATTCAATTTCTCGTGGTTTTGCGAACCGAACAGCTGACGGGTCCCGCTGGCTGACACTGTCAAAAAATAAAGATCCGACACAAAACTCACTGCACCTGACCTGCAAGAGCACAAGCACCTCTCCAATGCGCAAAAATCAGCACAAGCCTAACTAAAAGAGGACGGTGTTGATTCTCAGGTTCAGGTGTTGCGATGTGCGCTACAATAAGATGTTTTGGCCCAATTTATTTATTTTTTCTTCACAATTTTGTTAATAGTGAATAGGGTTAAATAATAAAATCTCCAGAAGTTATTCTTTTCTTTCTTTACTTAAAGGAAAATGTCAAGGTATGCAGAGTGCAGCTGCAGGCGCTGCTGCGCTCCGATAGTTTCCTGCAGGCGCTCAGTTCTGAACTTTACCAGCAGGAAAGAGTTTTATACGTAAAGCAATTTATTTGAAATGTTTTTATCATTTCCCTCTTTTGAACTCTAAATATAAACAAACGTCATTACTTCAATGTAAAAACATTTAATTAAATTATTTTTTGGCAGTGCTCCCTAATGATAATGTCTATTTTTAGAAGTGGCTCCGCGGGCACCGGGTTGGTGACCCCTACTTTAGAGGTTCCCATGCTGTTTGCCGCTCGTGAGCCCATTCCTTTCCTAGACCAGACCCGAACCCTCACAATCTCCACTTGTTCTGTTGTCAATAAATTCACTTTCACTTAACTATCTCTCCTGTGTTGTGATCTGCATGAGGGCTAGAAACATTGAACCCAACATGACAGTCAGGTTTGGGGGATAACTTTTCAAAAGTGAGATGGACATAATATTGTTTATATTGTGTCAATATAATATTACCATACTGCATTTATGTCCACCAGCAATATGCCAGCTAATATTAGCTATAGCACTTGGTGTAGTACCTATGAAGACTAACTGAGATTTTGGAAATCTTAAAAAGTTTACATTATTTTGTAATATTTATTTTGAAGGTAGTGTTCTGGTGTCAGAAAATATTAATCAAACATTATAATAAATATATTATTATCATATGACATTCACAGGTTTACACTGGTATAAAATATAATTATCTGTATATAATTCTTTCTCTATAAAAATGAAGATAGCGCCAGCCTTTGTTTAGAAGGTTTCATAAAGGCAACGATGTGAGGAAGAAGTGGGAATGTCTTTAAGAAGAGACGGAGTCACTACACAGCACGGCTTAATCTCAGCTGCTGAATCTCTCTTAAGCTGAAACTCCTCAGCTGGAAATCATGCAAAAATATAAAAAAGAATTATGTACATGCATGTACATATAAATGTGTAAAGACTAAAATATATTTTTCAATATTAATTATTATTTAATCATCTTGTTTTTCTACAATTGCATTATTTTGTATTTGTATTTTATGTACATATTTACTGATAGTACTAAATAAATCTAAAAAAATATGAATGGCTGTATTTTGTAAAATGCTTATCAAACATCAAGTCAGAATATTCTAGTCCTATTTTATTCTGCTTTCTCCAATAATAATATTTAAATATGTTCAGCGAGGTAAGATTAAATTCAGAAATACCTTTAAAATAGTCTTTGTAAATGCAGCTATTATTGCTGTTTGAATAACGTTTCCAGCAAAACAGCGTATAAATCAGTTTAGTATTTGGGAAACTAGGATTGATTAAATGCCCTGATACTTAGTTGCACCTGTCAAACATATTTATGTCTGTGGATAAAGTCTTCATGAGGAAGCAGAAAAGTTTTGATCAAAATCAGGGTTCACTATTTTGATCATAGCTGTAGCAATGATTGTGAAAAACAAAACAATATTTTGGATTATTGAGCATGTGACAGAGGACAAAAATTGGAAATGGATAAAAATGTAAATATTTAGATTCACAACAAATAATCTGATTGAATTGAACAAATTTCAACATCAATATTTTACTAAATGTAATATTTTCTTTTTGAAGGAAGCAACAGCAAATTACTGTGTTCAACTTTAATGTTGACCAGAATTTGATACCAGAAAATAAAATCATGAAGAATTTTGTTCAAAGAAAAAAAGAAACATCAGATGTTCATCATTGTTGATTCCAGCTCAACAGTAATCTAAAATTTCTGAAGATTAACCATCAAACAGGAGAGAGATGAAACTTTAATCTGAAATCAGAAGTGAACCAGTTCACTGATTTCAGCTTTATCTCTGCTATTTTCAGAGACCAGAACCTACCAGGCAAGTTTCTGAAGACAAAGTTCAGGTAAGAAACAAAACAAACTTATCATTTGTTCAAATGATTCAAAGAGTTAATGAAGACAATCTGAGTAATAAACTGAGGCCCAAAAGAACCACAGCAGAACAACAGTGACCGGAACAGTTGAGTTTGTCCAACCTGTAGAGAAATGAATCAAATGCAGAAGACAATGTTTTAATTGTTCACTAAATACATGAAGTATAACTGCAGAAAATAAACAAAAGGATCATTTAACATTTGAATGCAAGATTGAGAAAAACTGCAGTAAATTAAAAGACTGGAAACAGAAATAATCCTGAAATAATCCTGAAATAATCCTGGAATAATCCTGGAATAATCCTGGAATAATGCCAGTTTACATCTTTAAAGGACTAGAAGAAAAAGCAATTTCTGAGGAATTGTGTTGGAGTTTCACCAAGAAATAGATTGTAGAGACTGAACTATCTGTTCAACAGTGAGAGAGTTTCTCTGACAGGAGGAAAAACTTTAGACTCTTTAGACTCAAATCAGCTCAGAAACACTGAAGAGAAACCAGAACTGGACCACAAGAACCCAAATCCAGGAATCAGAGGTTCAGTGAATGTGGTGTTGAAGGTGTGGAGGAGGATCAGTGAGTCAGAGGAGACTCTGTAGAAGGACAGAATGCCAGCAGGACAGTCCACATACACTGCTACTCTGTTAGAGACAGAGGAGGAGGAGAGACGAGTTTTTATGTTATTGTGCCAGACAAAGTAACCATGACGATCAGAGCAGATCAGACTCCAGGAATGATCATTACATCCAAACCAACAGTCTAAACTGATTCCTTTCCTCTTGATTCTTCTGTAACTCACTGATATATTAACATCTCCTCTCCACTCAACCTCCCAGTAACAGCGACCAGTCAGACCAGTTCTACACAGCAGCTGAGGATCATCAAATCTGTCTGGATGATCAGGATATGACTGAAGCTCCTCCACATATGTCACCTTCCTGTTGTCTTCAGACAGTTTGAGGTTTCTGTTCACTGTGTTTGTGTCGATGGTGAGTTGACAGGAATCTGATGGAGAACAAACACAATCCAGCTGCAGTTATTGATCATTTATTGACACTTTGACTCCTGAATGAGTGATGTGACAGTTTGAAGATGGTTGAATGTGAGCTGCTTTGTTGTCATGAATCAGATGAAAAACACACTTACATTTCCTCAGACCTGGAGTCAAGAATCGGCCTCCAGCAGGCTCCATCCTGAAAGGAGGAGGGGGGTCAGACCATCAGTCTCTTTCAGCAGCAAACATGGACATTACATGTCTCTCAGACACACATTGTCCTCCACTGAGACAGGAACAGTCCAACATCTGGATTGCAAACTGCAGTGGATGTAGGAAGGACAGTTGGTGCTGCTGCAGCACAACTCATTTCTCCAAACACAGGAAAAGCTCCAACAGAGAGGAGAAAGGAAATCCCTCAGTAACAACCTGAAGAAACTCACTGAAGCCTAAAAGGACATCAGGAAACTAAGGAAACATTTCTGGAAGCTCCACCTGATTTAATAATCAGCATTAAAATACAATCAATCTAAACTCTGATCAACACCTGGATACCTGATCCATCCACACTCCCACACACAGATGAAGGAATGAAACACTAAACAGCCCTGCTGCTGAAAACCTGCTGTGGCCTCACTGTAATATCCAGAAATACAAACATTATAAAGGAGAAGCTGCATCACATTCAACAAAGATTCAACAAGAATCAAAGATTTGATCTCTGAGCTCAGACTCACAAACCAGGGAGAGGCTTCCATCATCACACACCTCTGACAAACACCTCCAACCTTTCAGCACTTCCTCTACCAACCAGCACCACCAGGTGGCGCTGCACACATTTACAATGAGCCCAAGAAGAAGAAGCAGCATCCTGAATCCAGCAGCTGCAGTAATGGCTTGTGAAAGTGTCCAAGGAGCATCTGGAACCAGAACCAGCAGATCCAACAGTCCAGAGAGTCTTTGTTTGTATCTTTCCTCTAAGATTTCCAAGCTGCTCTGAGAGGGAAATGACATCATCACTCTACTGATGATGTCATGCTCTGATGTCACTGACCAGGAGCTGCTGGACTTCTACATTTCCAGCATGGAGGACAGAGAAGATCTCAGCTCTGATGAGGAGCTGGCCTGCCTTCACACTGATTGAGGGTCAAAGAAATATTTCCAGATGAAGTCAGACTAAAATGTTGGATTGTCCTGCTGTTGCAATCAGAGGCCAAGAAGAAGCTTCAAGTTCTTCTCCTGTTCAGCTCCACGTTCCTGTCAGAGACTTCAGCTCCTCATGAGGAGAACAACTAAAGCCTGGAACAGACTGACACCAACATCCTGACATCTCATCCCTGAACAAAGCTTTGCAGCATCAAGGTGACTCTTAGCGCCATATATGGACAGATTTCCTCTAAAGGGGGCGGAGCCTGGATTGGAGGAACCAGCAACAACTTCCAGGAACAAACCTTGGGAACCTCTGGAGGAGAACATGGAGATGAGATTCCTGCTTTAATCAGTGGATTCATTGATAAAAAACATGAAATGTCTGAGAGCTGCAGCTCCATTTTCTACAGATCTGCTGGAACATCAGATAGAAATGAAGAATTTCATCATTTCACATCAAATCTGTTCATCTTCCACAGATACAACTGAATTATTGAGCTGAACTGGATCCAAAGGTCTGGATGGTAAAAACATCCATTGTTTTTCTGTCTCATTAGTTTCCAGAAAGAGTTGAAATGTTTCAGCAGCTTTTATCCAGCAGCTCAGTAAAGATCTCTCCTCTTTCCAACCTGATTTAGTCCATGAAGCAGAACATCTCTGCTGCTGCAGCAACAGGAGGAAACTTCTCCAGCTCTCAACTTCTACACTCTGACTGCTTGGAAACAGATCAGGGAGGATCAGCCTTTTCTCCAGGCTGCTCCTCCTGACTCTAGCGCCACCTAGTTGAGGACAAACTACCATACAAATAAAAATGCTAAACTCTGCCTCAAACAGTTTGCTTCATGTTTTTGTGTATTTTTGGTTTCATTAAGTCCTGAAAGTTGTGAATCTTTGTTTCACTTTTTGAGAACTTTTCCACATCCATCTGACCATTTTCTGATCTTTCCTCATTTGGGCTGATTGGTCTAGATCTCCATGAAATATTCTTTTAAAGTCCAAATTGTTTCCCAGCTGTGTCTCTACAATTACATATCATATCTTTTATATGATATCATTAATCTGCATATTTTTAACTTATTTTTAAATCAGCCAATCAACTTCTTGTATTTCCTCAGTAGATCATCAGTGGAAGCCCCGCCCAGCCCATGATGCTCCTGGTTTGTGAAGACAGAGAGACAAACTGAACTCTGATAGGAAACAGTTTCAACTGATTTTCTCTCTCCAACCTCTTGGTTCCACATGGAGCTATATTTGGCCCCCTGCTGCTCTGAATACCATGTTATTGTGGTTCAGTAGATGGGTTGGTTTCCCAGGTTCATTCAGAACCATGTGAAAGATTCTTATAGTTTAAATGAGCTGCTGTTTGAAAAGTTACACAACCAAAATGACCAGAGATAATTTGAGTTATTAAACTGTAATAAGAGATAAAATGGGGTTCAAAATGTTATCCATTCATTTATAAATGATATGACTGTATACCAGCTTCAAACTAAATGTTTCCCAGCAGACTGACTAAAGACATTTCTCCCTCTTCCTCCTCTATCAGACCTTCTCTGCTCCTGCAGCAGGTTCCTCCATACCTGAGAGCTTCCAGTCTCCAGTGTGGATCCTTCAGTCCAGCCGACAGCAGCTTCACTCCTGAGTCTCCTGGATGATTGTAGCTCAGGTCCAACTCTTTAAGATGGGAGGGGTTGGAGGTCAGAGCTGAGGCCAGAGAAGCACAGCCTTCCTCTGAGACCAAACAGCCTGATAAGCTGCAGACACACAATTCATCACATGATGAGAAAATGAGAACATGGAGGTAGAAACCAAGGACTGAACTGATGGATGGATGGATAGATGGATGGATGGATGGATGGATGGATGGATGGATGGATGGATGGATGGATGGATGGATGGATGGATGGATGGATGGATGGATGGATGGATGGTTCTGTAATTATGTTTCTTTTTGAACCTAAGATGCAGCAATTTGTCAAGAGTCCAGTGGAGGTAGAAACCAAGGTCTGAACTGATGCATGGATGGCCCAGAGTTACCTGAGAGTTTCCAGGTTGCAGTTTGGACTCTTCAGTCCAGCAGAGAGAAGCTTCACTCCTGAATCCTGCAGGTTGTTGTTACTCAGGTCCAGTTCTCTGAGACTGGAGGACTGGGAGCTGAGAACTGAGGACAGAGCTTCACAGCTTCTCTCTGAGAGGTTACAGTCACTCAGTCTGAGGAGACAGGGAGGAAAATATGTTATTAATCCATCAAAATTTCTTTTTTCCAGTCAACAATGTTCCTCTTTACTGATTTAATGAACTGTTTTATATATAATCATGTTGCCTTTTGTTGTGATCTGGTTCAGTCTATATTTGGGTCTCCAGCCATGAAGGACTGAACTAAAGGCAACAAGGAGGCTGGCAAGAGAAATATTAAATTCCTCTATGAACTAAATGAATCCATGTCAGTTTTAGCAGAAAGAGTCCAATGAAGCCTGAGAATCAAGGCTGGGCTGAAGATCAGCATCAGGCTCAGTTTGAGGATCAGCATCAGAGCTGGTTTGAGGGAAAACAGCTTGAATCAAAGCAGAGCAAATCTACAGTTTCATCTTTACATGTTTAACTGTTGGATACAGAGATGGAAACCTGAGCAGCAACTGACAAAAACTATTTGAACAAGAATCAAATTGTTCTATAAAAGGATTGTGTAAAGAAACTGCTCCAATTCAAACTCATGTTTGGAAAAAAAACATTGAGAAAACCAATATAGGGGGAAATACCCATCTAACAGTAAGACATCTATTATCATTTTCTTCTATTATTGAAAAAACATTTGCATCATAACTGATGGAATATAATGGACAGATATCTGGTTTCACCAGGATTGAGAACATTTTACCTGAGAGTTTCCAGGTTGCAGTTTGGACTCTTCAGTCCAGCAGAGAGAAGCTTCACTCCTGAATCCTGCAGCTTGTTGTTACTCAGGTCCAGTTCTCTGAGACTGGAGGACTGGGAGCTGAGAACTGAGGACAGAGCTTCACAGCTTCTCTCTGAGAGGTTACAGACACTCAATCTGAGGAGACAGGGAGGAAAATATGTTATTATACAATTCTACAAAAATTTATATTTTTCAAGGTTTTTCTTGGACAGAGAAGGATCAATCTTATTTTACACATGTTTATGATGCCTTTTGTTGCGAAATGGTTCATTTTATAGTTAGTCCTCCATCCTTAAAGTTTATAACTACAGGAAACAAGAAGTCTGGAAAGAGAATGATAAAATTCCACAATTAACAAAATTAATACAATTTAAATTTTAACATAAAGAGGACGAGTTTTGCTGCTTTAATATGTATCACTATGTCAGCTGCTGAAGGAAGTCTGTGTCTCCTTCACACATCACCCCCAGTGAGAAACTTTGAGGAGACAATGCAACAATATAAAAGCTGAAAAATTAACATATATTTAACTCATCATTAGTATATTTCTATCAAAGATAACTGCATTAACAATCTGTGACCTTACAGAGCTTTGTTGGAGGCTTTAACCACTGGCAGCAGCCTCAGAAGAACCTCCTCTGAAGCAGAGTATTTCTTCAGGTCAAACACATCCAGATCTTTTCCTGATGACACTAAGATGAAACCCAGAGCTGACCACTGAGCAGGAGACAGTTTATCTGTGGAGAGACTTCCTGAACTCAGAGACTGTTGGATCTCCTCCACTAGAGAACGATCATTCAGTTCATTCAGACAGTGGAACAGATTGATGCTTTTCTCTGCAGACACATTCTCACTGATCTTCTCCTTGATGTACTGAACTGTTTCCTGATTGGTCTGTGAGCTACTTCCTGTCTGTGTCACCAGACCTTTTAGGAGTCTCTGATTGGTCTGCAGTGAAAGTCCCAGGAGGAAACGGAGGAACAAGTCCAGGTGTCCATTTGGACTCTGTAAGGCCTGGTCAACAGCTCTCTGATGGAGAGACTTTGGTTGAAGTATATTAAATAATAAATATTTCTTAGATCTTTTTGTTTCTTCCATCAGGATGACTCCAGAGTTGATGAAGGTCAGATGAACATGAAGAGCAGCCAGAAACTCCTGAACACTCAGATGGATGAAGCAGAACACCTTGTCCTGGTACAGACCTCTCTCCTCTTTAAAGATCTGTGTGAACACTCCTGAGTACACTGAGGCTGCTCTGATATCGATGCCACACTCTGTCAGGTCTGATTCATAAAAGATCAGGTTTCCTTTCTGCAGCTGATCAAAAGCCAGTTTTCCCAGAGACTCAATCATCTTCCTGCTCTCTGGACTCCAGTGTGGATCTGTTTCAGCTCCTCCATCATACTTGACCTTCTTCACTTTGGTCTGAGCCACCAGGAAGTGGATGTACATCTCAGTCAGGGATCTGGGCAGCTCTCCTCCCTCTCTGGTCTCCAACACATCCTCCAGAACTGTAGCAGTGATCCAGCAGAAGACTGGGATGTGGCACATGATGTGGAGGCTTTGTGATGTCTTCATGTGGGAGATGATCCTGCTGGCCTGTTTCTCATCTCTGAATCTCTTCCTGAAGTACTCCTCCTTCTGAGGGTCATTGAACCCTCTGACCTCTGTCACCATGCCAACACACTGAGGAGGGATCTGATTGGCTGCTGCAGGTCGTGTGGTTATCCAGAGGAGAGCAGAGGGAAGCAGTTTCCCCCTGATGAGGTTTGTCAGCAGAACATCCACTGAGGTGGACTCTGTAGCATCAGTCAGGATCTCCTTGTTGTGGAAGTCCAGTGGAAGTCGACTCTCATCCAAGCCATCAAAGATGAACAGAACCTGGAAGTGTTCAAAGCTGCAGATTTCTTTGGTTTCACTAAAGAAATGATGAACAAGTTCCACCAAGCTGAACTTTTTCTCTTTCAGCACATTCAGCTCTCTGAAGGTGAATGGAAATATGAACTGGATGTTCTGGTGGGCTTTGTCTTCAGCCCAGTCCAGAGTGAACTTCTGTGTTAGGACTGTTTTCCCAATGCCAGCCACTCCCTTTGTCATCACTGTTCTGATTGGTTGATCTCTTCCAGGTGGGACTTTAAAGATGTCTTCTTGTCTGATTGTTGTTTCTGGTCTGTTTGGTTTCCTGGATGCTGTTTCAATCTGTCTGACCTCATGTTCATCATTGACCTCTCCAGTCCCTCCCTCTGTGATGTAGAGCTCTGTGTAGATCTGGTTCATAAGGGTTGGACTTCCTGCTTTAGCAATCCCCTCAAACACAGACTGGAACGTCTTCTTCAGACCAGATTTAAGTTCATATTGACAAACTGGAGCAAAATGTCCTAAATTAACACAATAAGAAAAATCAGATATGAAAGAAAATCATGTTTTGAATTTTATTACATCACTTCAGCAAATGTGTAATTCATAATTTCAAATCTCTGAAGAAATCCTCTTACTGCTCTGCAGATGGTCAGCCAGCTTTTCCTGCTTCATTTTCCTCAGGAAGTTCAGTGTGATCTTCATCACTGCCTCTCTGCTGCTCCTCCTCTGCTCTTCATCATCACCTTCTAACACCTCATCATCATCTCTCTGACTCTCTGAATGTTCTGGGTAATCTGGACTCAGAACTTTTTTAATCTTCTTCAACTCGTTCTTCACATAAGTAACAATGTTTTCCTCCAGCAGCTGGAACAGAATAATAGATGGACACATGGGACTGAATTCATGGAGCCAAACACCAGATGGATGTTGGACAGACTGACAGTCCTCTGGTCTACAAAGTGAAGCATGAAGGTGACTCTGAACAGAACTCGTGGAAAATAGTTTTTGTTCATATACAGACCATAAATATGGAGTCCAGTTGTGTTTGATGCTGCTGGGCAGATGGACCACTGGGAACCTCTGAGGTCTCCTGGTCCAATCTGTGGAGGAACCAGGAACAATTAGGAAGTGTTGAGAACATAAGTCTCATTAGCATAACTTTAAAGACAGTCAACCTTTATGCATATGAAATATTAGATGTTGCATGAACATTTAGAGTAGATTTCAAGTTAGGTAAACTTAGACAAAGATCCAAACTAAAACAACTGGTGACTCTCTGAACTTACATCAATTTCTAAGGAGGGTTTTCTGACAGGCAGTGTTGGAGTCCCATAAGGAGTCTGCAGACAGGGAGTCTATCTGTCATCAGCATCAATACATTTTTTGTTGTCGGTTCAAGAGGTCAGTGAAACATTAAAACTCTAAAAAGTCTTCTCCAAAGTATAATCAAACGCTTTAAGATATTTCCTTTAAGCATTAACAGCATGTTTGAATTAGTTAGCTTTTAACCATACTATTTGCATTTATTTTGTATTATTGAAATACGATAGGATCAGGAAACTATTTTACTTCTAAATTTCAGGTATTCTTAAAAATATCTTTTCCAAAAGTGGATAACCCTGTTATTGTTAGATCCAAACTTATAGTTATTATTTGGCATTTCATTTTTGTGCCAGTTTGTTTAAAATACAAATCAGTTTCTTGCTGAATCTCTGAGGCAGAGAGGACTGTCCAGCTGCAGGTCATAAATCATGGCCTGGAATGTAAAAAGGAGGAGACTGGCACTGGAAGATCTGGGTGTTTTAGCAGGTCTCAGAGGTAATAAAATTAACTTTGAGACAGCCCTATGAGGGGAACAACACACCTCCTAATGCATATATTTAAATGAAGGGAATACACGTTCTTATAAAAAGCTCTGTTTTCCAGCAGAAGCTCCAATCACTTTGTGCCCGAGTGAGCGACTCTCAAAAATACAATTTTGTTTTGTTTTTCTTTTCAACTCGTCCCAGGGAACGCTTTCTGTGTTGTTATGTGTCAGACTTTTGATGATCTGGGTGTAATGCTGATGTAACATTCTGTATGCATTGAATTCTCTGGAGAAAGCTCTTATATGTCTGAAGTCTCATGTCGTATGATTGTTCTTTATTATTCCTCTGCGCTTGGCGGAGACTGATGCACCTGGGAAACAGTGCAGCTATTTTCTCTGTTCTTAACAGAAGTCAGGAAATATTCATCCAACAGTTTTCACGGAGGAAATCACCAGGAGTTTCACATTAGAAATACTTGAAGCAGTAAAACAGAGCATCACATCAGCACAATACAAAGGAGTTAGAAAGAGGAAAATGGATCACTGTAACACTAGAATCACTCAGATTATGTAAAAAAGTTTATATTGCACTTTAAACACTCCACACTGTCAACAGACTAAATAAAAACTGTGATATTCTTACTGGTTCAGTTTCCACAGTTACAGCAGTTAGAAACAGCTCACCTCTCTGATGATGGAGATCCAGTAGATTTAAAGTTAATGATCACTTCCTTTGACCAGTCGCTCTTAAAGGACACACAGCTGGGTTCTGGTTCTGGTTTGCATCTCTGATGGATCCTGACAGAAATATGATGATTAAAACTGAATCAGCAAAGAGGAGCAGCAGCAGCTTCATCACCACGTCTGTTCTGGCCTGATATAGTGAACGCTGTGTGAAAAGGGCTGTGGACACTTAGAGATGGTGACCTCACCTCTGACCTTTGCTCTGGCTCTCATCTTCCCCACACAGAGTGGTTTTAGAGGGAGGGACTCCCTCCTCTCTGTCCTCACACTGATCCATGCTGCTGAATCCACATCAGCTCACACACACTTTCTAGCTTCACCTGCAGAGGAAACACACAATCATTCATCTGCACATCAACTCTGATCATCCTTTACATCATTAGTGCTGGAAAAAGATCAGCTGCTCCTCCTCTGATTGGCTCTTCTTCTCTGCTTCATATCAGTGTCAGGTGAATGCAGTCAGACAGCAGAGAGGCAGAGGAAGCTGCCATCAGCTGCTGCACTTCTACTATCAGTCCACTAGATGGAGATATAGAGCAACATTTACATTGACTCGCACATTGATTCAACTTGAAGAGCAACTATTGTTTATACTTTCAGTATAAAAGATACAGGTGGATTATCTGCTGCTGCAAAGATTAACTGTTTAATAATCTGACTGAATTTAACACATTTTAACATTAAAATTTTATAATAATAATATATAAGAAAGCAACAACATAGACTTCAATGGAGAACAGTTTGATACCAGAAAATGAAATCATGAATCAGTTTGTTCAGAGAAGGAAACAAAGAAACATCAGCTGTTCATCATGTTGTTCGATTCCAGTTCATTAGTAATCTAATAATCATGTAGACTCACCTTCAAACAGCAGATGAATCTTTGACCTGAAAAAATGAACCTGTTCTCCAAACATCAGAGAGCACAAACAAGAATGAAATAAAAATGAAAAAGTTCAAGTTTGAAACAAAGCAAACTTACAGTTTGTTCAAGCAATCCAAAAAATTTGATCAAGAACATCTTAACAACAAACAGGGACAAAACAACCAGACTGGAGCCACATCGTAAAAAATAAACTGAAACTGAAAGTAAATGTGTCGGAAGTTGCATCACGTATGACATCACAGTTAAACGGGGTGGTAGTTCATTCTTCCAGAGCTGCAGAACCAGGAAGTGGAAGATCTAGGAAAATCAGAGGAAGGTTTTTAACATTGTCATGAGGAAGTAATGATAAAAATAAAGTTGTACTTACTTTTGATCATGACTATAATGATGATTGATTGTAAAAAAAAAATATGTTAGTTTCTTTAGCACTTCACAGTTTGTATGCAGGAATCCATACAAACTAAATAATTTGTTTCAAAATAAAGATTTAATTACCAAACTTAAAAATGTATTTACAAAATTATCATTTAATTTTCAAATTTAATATTTATTGTCAACATTACATGTTTCATAATCTCCTTTAATTTCTAGTTGTTCAATCAGACGCTCCATCATGTTGTCATGTTTCAGTTTTTCCTCCATTCAGCAACAGTTGGTGAACTGGGTTTAATCCAGTTTAGTCTAATTGTCTTTCTTGCTACCAGCAGCAGAGGTGCAACAATATGTAACATTGATGTTTAGTGAGTAAATCCTTGGTGTTTATGTCCAGCAGAAACAGAAGAGGCTCCATGGGGAGATCTGTCCTCAGTCTCCTGTTTCATTTCCTCCCAGAAAGTCTTTATTTGTGGTCAGAACCAGAAGAACGTGTGTGATGACCGACCATTCAACACATTCCTCCAACATCCATCTGTGGTTGGAATCCTGGAAATGAACGTTTTAAAGGAGATCTGCTTAAATGTTTGTCTAACCAAATTTATTTCCACCAGTTAATTGGTTTGATTCAGTATTCTGCAAGCTTGAATGTTTCATTGTAGCTTTGCTTTGTTTCTGTTGCATCCAAGCTGACGGTTGTTTTTTTCCAACTCCATGGATCTGAACATCTACAACCTTTATGTTGAGAACATATGTTGAGAGGAGAGACTGCCATTGTCACAAACTCACTTTCTGATGTCTCTGACCAAACACTTGACCCTCAACATCAATGTTGGAGAAACATTATCGTCATTGATATTGCAATAACAGCAATAGTGTTACAACAACACTATTAAATAATAGTGTTGTTGTAATTTCAAGGCTGCTGTTTCTCTGTCAGATTCCCTCAGGTCTCCACAGCAGACAGATGGATCACGGCGCTCTTCCTCCACCTCCTCGCCGCGCCCCATCCTCATCCTCCACCACCTCCACCGAGTTCTGATGGGTTGGTTCAGATCCTCTCTGGAGATCAGACACCAGAACAGAGGCGGATCAGAACCAAAGCCAGCAGCTCTGCTGAAGCTCAGGAGAACTCTGAGTCCAGATGTGGACCCTGGTCTCCTCCAGAACCTCCTCTGTTCTGCTGTGGAGGAACTGTGTGGCTCCAGTTCTGCAGCAGGACCTTCTCAGCTGCAGCAGAAGAAGAAAGGACTTCCTGTGTTCAGGTTGGATAGAAACCTGGATATTTTCTAGCTTGTGGTTCTGCTTCCAGCGTAGATGTTCTCCAGGGTTCTGATCTGGATCTAGTGACTGTAGAGCTCATCAGGTTTCCTCTCATCCACTTTGAGATCTTCAGCCTCCTTTAGATTCAACCTGAAGCTTCTTCTGACAGATTAGCTGCACCTGATATTTAGCATGATGTTTATTATTCTAGCCTCAGTTTTCTGTTCTTCATGTGACTCCACTGAATCCAACTCTGATGTCGTTCACTTCACAAGTGATGAAGATCCATTTTTCTTTCACTTCCTGCTGATTTCTTTCCAAAGCTCCATTTTTTCCAGGAGGATCTTCAATGTTCTCTTTAGATGATGAAGGAACTCAGACTGACTCCACCCGGCTGGTGCTCCAGGTGAGCAGAAACAAACAAACCCTAAAGTCATCCAGCTTTAGATTTGGACCATCTGAACATCAAGCTTCAGTAACGTCTCAGTTAAAGTTTGTTTCCAGATCTGAGATCAGAAAGTTCTGGAACAAACTGGTTGCTCTCCAGTTTGATGATGTTTCCAACCTGAATGTTCATCCATTTTTCTTCTCTCAGCCTGGAAAGAAAATCCTCTAAATTATCTGGCTTGATAAAAAACTGTTTTATTAGTAAAATCTTGGAATCTTGACTCACTCTTTGTGTATCAGGACTTTCACATTGCAGTTATTCACCTGAAATGAAGAGGAATTGTTTATTTTTGGTCTAAGAATAAAATGTTTTTGTAAGGATCATGTAATCACATCCTGAAAAAT